CAGATCGCCATTCGTTACCATGAGCACAGTCTGTTGAAGGGTGATGGGGAGAAGGGTGACGCGTGGGGCATTTATCCTGGTGGATCAAACTTGGCAGTGGCAGTAAGTAAGCGTTTTGCATATTTGACTGAAAGTGTCCACAGCGGCTACCTTCTGACAGAATTAGGAATTTTTAGCAGCTGCTGCCGGGATTGGAGAAGTCAGGGTGTAAAGGAGCTGTGCAAGACTTGCGGGTTTCCACCCTAGCAAGCAGCTTGGTGCTCCTGGAAGACCTGGGTCCAGTGCTGAGCGTCGGCCCCACCGCCCGCGTGTGGCACCATTTGCCGCCGACGTTGGGCAGCCCAACCTGCCTGGCTTTCAGCAAGGGATAGATGGCTTCCCGAGGGGCGGGAGAGCCAGCCTCTGCCTGGAGGGGAGAGTTGGCAGGTCTGCGGCCGTCCTGCCTCAGCTCACCTTTGATTTCTCTTCTCATCAGCGTTCGCAAACAAAAGGAGTCTTTGAAAACCTACCTTGCACCCAGTGCTGTGCAATTACTGACTTGCTGTGTGTGCTTTATGGTGCTTTTGAGATTTGTTAGCTTAACTAGTAACTTCCAAAATATTTAGGGACAAGAGAAGTGTGGTTTTACAGGAATGCGAGCTAACTGGAAACACTAGTAGTTGTCACTGCAGGACTAAAACCAGTTAACTAGTACACAGAGTTCTTCAAAGGTCACAGGGATCTCCGAGAAGCAAAACTGCAATGATAGCGTTTCAAGTCATGAATTTATAGCTGATTAATCATTATAATATATGAAAGGTGCTGTCTAAGAATCTTCTGGGCATCTGGGGAAGCACAGGTTGTGCAAGTAATTGGAAAAACAGCATTGCGAACTGCCGGTTCTTCTCCCCAGAGACATTTGTGCCACCTTTGACAAAGGGGAGTACGAACACTCGCTATCCATCATTTTACCTGATTATCTAGAAACTGCCTAAATCTCTTGGGCCAGATCCCAGACTCTTCTCAGGCCAAGCGGTGACTAAGTTTGGTGGACCTGAGGGGCTTGCGTTTAAGACTGGACGATTCCCAGCATTACAACATGCTTGAAATGATCCCGCTCAAGCAGGAGAATTGCTGCGTGGTTGTTAAATGAGAGCACTGGGGTCCTCCAAGAGAAGCTGTTTGTGTCTTTCCTATACTTAGTTTCATCTACAGCAGTCCCTGCTTTTCTTGAAAAATGCATCCTTCCTCCCTGCAGCTTTTGGGCCCTGCCCATCGCTTCCAGCAGAAGCGGGCAGATGTGTCTGAGGCTAAGGAAAGCGATGGCAAACCTGGGGTGAGGAGAACAGACTGGATGGGGCAAGAGACGATGTTCAGCCCCTCTACCACCAGGTTAGGGGGATGAACGTTGAGGGTAGGGGCCGGTCCTTAAAGCTAAGGCAACAGAAAGTACTTTCGCCAGCTTACGAACCCTGCCGCGGCTGCCTGGGGGTTTCTGGGTGTGGAAGTGCAAGTCCTGGCGTGTGTGTTGAGGGGACAGGGAAGCTGTCATGGGAAGATGGATTGGAGCAGACATGCTCAGGCGTGGGTGTGCGTCGCTCAGCCATCCAAGCAGTGCCGAGACGTGGCTTCCTCACATATCAAGACACACCTTTTTTCATTCTCTTCCTCCACACCACCACCTTACTTGTTTTCTCTTAGTCTTTTCGACTTCCAGTGTTTCTCACGGGGCAAGAGAGCTTCCATACTGTCCCCTGTCGGAAGCTCCTAAACAATGCAGCCATCAAGTCAGTATTTAGTGCACAAGTAATGAAATTCATAACCTGAGTTTTCTACGGTGGCATTAACTGTGACACGGATTCATCACTGGCGTATCATCATTAAAAGGCAGTGGAATTGCATCGGGGATTGATGTGATCACATGCATGTAAAGATCAAGATACAAAAAGGTGTGATTTATGTAATATAAGCATAAGCTGTAATCCGAAACCCTTCCCACATGCGGTGTGACGGTTCCTGTTCCCAGAGCAATGATGGCTTTTAAATTTACTGGGTAAATGTGTATGTTTGTATGTTTTTATTTAACTCTTTTAAACATAGTATTGTCTTAATCTTTTTCTCTCTCTCTCTTTTTTTTTTTTTTTTTTGTGGAATTATAGTTGTAGTTAAATCTGCCTAATAGTTCAACGTCACTGAAATTCTTTGTATTTTTGGAGCCTGGTGTTGTATGTCAGTACTTTATTGTGTTATCTTACAGAGAATATAGAAATACTGCCATGTCTGATGCAGCCTTAGCGAAGGCAAATGTAGGAAATGTAAAAAGTATACAAAAAGCAAGAAGATAAATGTTATTTGGGTTTTATCATTTTATTATAAAGGCTATTATCATTTTATTATAAAGGCTGTCAGAATCGTAGAAAAAAGGTAATGGTGAACAAAGTGTTCCTAGTTTTCAGAACATGTTACTTCTCCCTTTTGTACTCTTTAGTGATTTGCGCCCAAAAAGAAAGATTTGGCGATGTGGACTGACCAGCAGCTGTCCCGGTGGTGGCCTTTGGAGGGGAAGGGACTTCAGGTACAGCTGCAGGGGAAACTGTGCCAGGGTAGCACAGGAGCGTGGTGCAGTTCCTGCCGGAGTTATCTCCTGGTCTCTGGGAGCTCTTGGCAGCTGCTCCGAAGCCTGACCTAAATAACGTGTTTGTCTTCCACAAGGAGTTAAAAGCCATTGAGACAAATAGTTGCTGAGGCTGCCTGTTTGGCAAATCTGTCAATCAGCTCACAGAGCTATAAATAAATGGGGCTTTATTACAAAGGCTTATTGCTCTTTGTGGTTGTGTAGGAGTTTACATAATTTTCTAAGGGGCTCTTTTATCTCCCAAGTACAGCAGTGATTAGGATTTACTTCTGGAGTGTGGTGGCAGTTTGGAGCACTCGAGACGTACGTGTTGGTCCTGGATGTTTTTTCAGTGCAAGAGACCGTACTTGCACTCTGCCCTGGGGTCCAGCGAACAGATCAGAGCATTAGCTTTAGGGAAATATTTGTAAAAGGAAGTGGGGGGGATCCAACCCACCCCCCCTAAACCTGACTACACTGGTAGCATTGAACCTTCACGAGAAGGTACTTTTTCAGTCCACCCTTCCTGGCCTCCTTTGAGTCTCTGTTACTCCAGACACCAGAACTGATGGTGTTTGAGGTTAGGCTTTAGTCTGGTGGGGTGCTCAGTGTCCCAGCCCTGATCCAGCAAAGCACGTAGCTGACTTCAGCGCGGGTCTGTTCACACAGTTAAAGTCAAGTTCATCCTTAAAATATCGGCTGGATTGGGGTTGGAGTTCTCTCAGTTGCAAAGTCAAACCTTTAGTGAGAAAACCAGAGCAGTTAATCTCATGGAGTATGTGCCTAATGGCCTCATGAAAGAGCATCAGTATTCACTGCATCTACCCCTTGTTTTCTGTTACACATATTACATTATTTCTGTAGATGCCCCTGACTTTGCTTTCCCACCCTACCATTTTCCTATGTTGTTCTTCATTTTGTCTCAGAAAGGACACCCAGAGGTAAATGAATGCAACTGCGAGTCATTCGTTCTTGAACAGATACTGTAAGTGAGACTGGATTGACACCTCTTCTTCCTTCCGAAACGTTCACCATTCATCTGCTTTTTATGATCATTTGTGGTTCACAGGCATGTAGGAAGCAACCACAGAAGGCGTGGAGATGGGTCTGGGGAACCTACAGGGGAAAACAGCTGGCATGGAGGTGACTTTGGGCATCTGTCCATTTTGCTGTGCTTCCCTCCCTATGGCACAGATAGATGTGCTTTCTGGGGTGGGACAGTGCAAATGAGGATCAGCAGATCTTTGGCCATCCAAAATTCCTGGCCATCCTCACGTGTGCCAAACCCACCACCACACCCTCAGGAGTTTAGGACCTTGTTTTAAATATCACGAGGTTTTGAACATGAGTGAATGTGAGGATTGGTTTTACTTGTCCAATAATATTTAGTCTTCAGGGTGTTTAATATTGACATGGAGTCTTTGGGGAGAGGGATTGATTTTGCTTGGCTTTGTTGTAAAGCCTTATGCATCTGGTTATGCTTAAGACGTTAGCTTTAGCTAACAACAAGCCTCTTGATAAAATTCACAAGTACTGGCAATACTGTGGACATAGACTTATCTCCTGGGCATGCTTTGTAAAATTAAGCTATTTTCATTAAAAGAACAAAGAGTAGCATGGTGATGGAGCAGCTGTCATATTTTATTACAAAACACAAATATGTGGGAAATCAGTTACAGCATGAGTGCTGCACAATGCTTATTTCCAGTAATCCCCCACGGCCGGGGGAAGGTAGAAGGCTGATCAGAGTGCAGGAGCAGATGGCAAGCAACTTTAGATAGTTTCACTGCCATTTTTACTCTTTCAAGTGTTTGTGCTTCTCCTTTGATCTTCAGATCTTGAGTTTAATGTGTTTCATCTTCTTTCATTTACTGTTTTCACATTTAACTTTCCCTTTAAATGACTTCTGCTTGGTGGAGTTTGTATTAGTATGGGGTTTTTTATCTTCCATACTGAGAAATTTAAGAAGAGAGACAGTTGCTGTCTTTTTTTAGTGTTGTTCACATCCAGTAAAATACCAACTGCATTACTGCAGAGGACTTTGCCATTCACCATGTGCAGCTGTAGTGATACAATAAAAAAAATCGCACCAAAAGTTACTAAGACACAGTGCAGGTGAAGTTGCAGTAGACTGTCTTGGAAGATAGATACTATGGGAGTGCAATGGCATGTCCACAACAAACACCTATGAAGGTTTGGTTTCATTATTATCCATTAAATTTAATTCTTACAGTTAAGTAATTAAGCTTGTGTTAGTATTGTCTGTGTGTGTAACATTTTTATCTTCACTTAAAATAATTTATGTTTGAAATAAAAGCATTTTGCAGTGTTTTGAAGTAGAGCAGCAAAAGCAACATGGGGTGATCTGAGTAACGACATGTGATCTGTGTCTCTGCTTTTTCTACAGCCGTCAGAAATGATAGGAACAAAAAGAAGAAGGAACCTTCAAAGCAAGAGTCCACAGAAAACTATGAAATGACAGCAGAGTTGGATGATCTCACTGAGAAGATCCGAAAAGCTCACCAGGAAACCTTCCCCTCGCTCTGCCAGCTGGGAAAATACACTACAGTGAGTATGGTTTGTGACACATACATTCTGGATATGCCTGGATGACGCGAGTTTTGCATTGGAGGCTTCAGGCATTTCAAATAGATGCAGGAGTGGATGCGCTCCTTGCACCTCCTTAGCCATGAAAAAACACAGGTATGCGTGCAAATGCACGCTGAAGAAGAGATATTGCACTTAACTGTAAGCATTACTTAGCAGTATTGTGAGAGACTGTCTGAAGGATTAATCCAGGCAAGAGACAAGCTTGGAGTCCACGAGTCAATTACATGCCATCATTCATTAGAAATTTGTTGGCTTCCAAAGACTTGATCTCTGCTTGTGCGTCAGCGGATTACAACTTTGCAGGTGTAGAGAGTTCTTAAATGCTGCTGGATTACTGGTGACAGTCCCAAAGCTACCAAGGTCAAGGAAAATATGAAATGTCTAAATAAACTGGTTTCCAAAATGCTTATTTGCAGTTTATTCCTCTTCCAGTCTGCTAAAATACCACAAAGCAGCAAAAACTTCTGCTGCTTCTAGAAATTAAAAATCAGCCACCCATCAAGTTCAGTACTGTGGGAATTTCTCAGGAGGATGAGTGAGGGAAATAATTTTTTTCTATACATATATATGTTGGTAAATACAGGGAAGGTCAGTGATATTTATTGATTTCAGAGAGAAAATTCAATGTCAAGTTTGCAAATGCAGTAATAAAAGTGATGCTAAAAAATAACTGTTAGGTAATCTTTAGAGTCTTGTCGGTAGAGGTATGACTTTGCTGGGTCTGGTCTTGCTGTCGGTTGTAACATCACTGGCTGTTTCAGAGGGATGTGCAGAAGGTCGCTGCCGAGACCAGGAGTTCAGGAGTGGCATGGCTGGGGCAAGGAGACACCTGCCTCCACGGTCCTTGCCCTCCAGCCCCAGCTGGAGGTCTGGGACCAAGCCCCGGACACCAGGTGAAATACCTCTCTCCCTGGATTGCTCTCTGTTTTGAGTAAATGCTCTGCGCCTGAAACAAACGTTAAATTTCTCAGAGAGTGATCTAGGCAAATCCCTGTGTGGCATTAGTATCGACTGTTTTAGCGAGCGGGGTGCTATTTTATGGCATACTCATCTATTTACAAAGTGCGAGGTTCAAAACTCTCAGGTCTAGGTGTAAGACTTTGTATTTAAGTGCAAGAAAAGCAAACGTATATGGTGTGATGTTAGAAAAAAGCATGTTTTTCACGTTGCTGAAAGTATTTTCACAAACATTTTTCACATTTAGTTTTGAGACCGACATAGAATGGTTAGTACTGGGGAAGGTGCCTGTCCTCTGCATGCTTCTCTGGTGCTAGCCCTGCTTGGGTGAGATGTAGTCACAACAGTCAGCGTAGGCGTGCTGGTAAATGTTGCACAGGCAGACCCCAGGGACTAGCGCAGCGTGCGAGGCTGGAAGCTCGAAAGCAGCCAGCTGGTGACATAACGGAAGGCAAAGCTGGAGGCGGTGGGACTCATAGTGTGTCTTTTCAAGGAAATTCCTGGGTTAATGCCCTCCACCCCTCCTCTCAGCACGTGCAGTTGCATCCTTGTCTTGGAGTGAATAAAATCTTCCAAACAGGCTCTCACGCTGCTGCAAACGCAAGAGCGCTTCTGAACAAGTGTGAAAAAATCTTCCGAGTTCAAAGACAGTGAGTTTATGCCTTGGAGAAGAAGTGATCATATGTACGCAGCTGGGACGCGTAGCCAGGCTGGTATGCATGCCAGAGTTTATTGCTCACAGGCTGCCTTGCAAATGGCCTGGCTATACCAAAATAACAATATATCGGTATACCTCCCAACATGAACGTGTTGGTACGTGCATTTGCGTTACCTCTGAGTTTGAAGAGTGCACTGCAGTTGGCGCGACGGTACTTCGTACTGGTAATTGCCAAAGAACCTGGAGGGTTGAAAGATAAAACCTGGGCTCCTATATGCTTGCATTATGTATCGGATGCTTAAGGATCATTAATATTTTAGCTCTTGAAATGATACAAGTGGATGAAATTGGAGAGGGTCTTGTTGCATATCACACTCCCCACTGATGCCTTCGTCCTCGGGTTCCTGCTGACCCCCATGGTGACTTTATGTCCCTGTTGGAATTTCAGAGCCCTTACAGAAAGCACCTGGATCCAAGTAATGAACGGATGAATCTGGTCTGTCTGTGGGTCCTGAGTAACCACGACCTGACCGCACTCTCTCTGAGGCTGGATATTGGTCATTTGTATCTCAGGCCAGCTTGGGGAAAGAGATTTCTTGTTTTTATTGTTGGCCGGTTGGAAGTCCACAGCGGTTAGCTGCACGTGGCTGAGGTCTCTGTTGCTTTGTCATGGTTTGGTACTGTACAAGTTGCAATAACAAAATGATACTGAAATAGTTATTTTTGGCTTACCTTGAATCTTTGAGAGCAGTACAGCTTCCTTCAACAGCTGTGTCAAAGCTAATAGCGACGGTGCTAAATGCTGTTGTCTTGGTGCATTCTCATAGTCTCTGTGTGGAATGCAGGGTATTTAAATCTCTCATCTAGCTAAGGTCTGGTGACCACTCCAGCTTTTTAGGTAGGAATTCAGTGGTAAGAGCTCATTTTTATGAACGCTGTGTGTGCCCAGCTGTGGAAGGGACAGAGTACTGCTGGGGCTGGAGTAAGGGTCATCCTCATCTCCAGCTGCCCATCGGCCCAGGAGGGGGGAGAAGCCTCTCTGCAGCAGCGGAGGATCCAGGAGGATCCAGGAGGAGGAAGGTGTGTGTGCTGGTGGGAGGAGCACAGCTTCAGTGCTGGGACAACACCACCAGCTGCTGGTCAAACAGCAGGGCTCACGCAATATTTCCTTTTGAGACATTTGAAATAGAGACCAGAAGTCACAAAAAAGGAGCACGCAGCCCTTTTTCTAAATGCTGAGTCCAAGGGGAGCTAGAAGCCTATGCCACTCTACTTTTCTTGATAGTAACAAGCTAGTACGCATAGAAGATTGCCACCAGTCCTGCTTTTATGCCCAGTTCTGCAGGCTGGCAGTCATGAAGCGTGGCGTGCTCACGCTGCGGAGCATACAGATTGCTTTTGTAACCTTAGAGGGTTTTATTTAATTCTTTAAGCAAGAGGTGAGAAGTGAGTGTATTGAATCGATGTGGATTCACTTGAATTTCATGAGCTTTGCACTTGCGTACCAATGGAGACGGTGGACAGAAGAAACTGTTCTGCAAGTGTGGCCCCTGTGTGCCTTCGGTTACGTGGTCGTTCCGGCTGATTTAAAACATGATTTTGTTTGTTGCTAAAAAGAGCAAAGAGTTTTAAGTATAAGAGAGCAGAGTAAAAAAAGACCTTGCAGAGATACAGTCATAAAAAATTCTGTTCAGACATTTGGCTTGCGTATCTGGCTCCTCTCGCTCTTGAGCACTGCAGCCTGCATCTCCCAGAGGGAAGGGTTACATGGTGATTTTTTCCTCCATTGTGTATTTTTACCTGTTCAAAAACGGTTTTGGAGAAGCATTTTCAATTACCTTTTTTTTATATCCATCTGCTCTTTAAAAAGAAAAAGTGTCCCTATCTGTAATAATTACCATACTTTGCATAGTTAATAAAAGTCCACTTAAAATAATGGGAGAATAGGACTTGTATTAAATTCCCTGGGTCATTTGACTTTAACAGTTGCATTTGGTGGGCAGTGGCAAGTATAGTTCTGCCGATGATGAGAATCAGCAAGCTGTTTAAACGTAATGGATTTCAAAAGTCCATCATAAATAGATCTGTTTTATTACTGTCATCCAGGTAAGAGAGAGTGCCTTAGTAATTTCTCTGGAGATGTCATACTTTATAGTATAATTGAGTGTAACTATACTGCTTGTCCCTCGAGAGTGGTATTATTTGTAAGTCTACAGCTGTGTTACATCCAGCCTTGTGATAAAGGGAGGATAAAACAGAAAATAATTTTGACTCTGCGGACCCTTGCTGCGGGTTCTCCCAGGTTGCTCTTGGCTGGATGGATGCAAAGAGGTTTTGCATCTCGGCGGCATTTTGTCCTTTGTAAGTGCTGGGCTTAGAAGTTACACGGCTATTGTTCTGTGCCATTGCAGGGGAATGTATATGTATATTATATACATATCTGTCTATCTCCTGATGCTGGGACTGAGCAGAGGTGTGTGCTGTGGTCCTCGGTGAACTCGCTGGAGCTGGAGTGCATTGCTGCTTTTACTAAAGAGGCATAGCAAGTGTTCCTGATTAGGGCAGAGTGCCCCTGTGAGCCTTGTTTCCTTTGTAAAGTGGATTTTAAAGACGGTAGGGATTCTGCTACTGTGTATGTTTCTGTGAGTACCTCATCCTGTATCGTTAATGTGGAGATAGAGCAGCCTGCAATGAAAAAACAAAAATGATGGAAAAAATGGGATCAATTTATGTGGCAAAAATGGCTGTTTAATTGGATTTCATAGCAAGGTTGGGCTTTTCCACTGATAAAGATGCCACTAGGGTGTATTACAGTATTGTTCCACCATATGTGCACTGGTGCAAAGGCCTGAAAAACATGCAAGACTGCTCCTGGAAAAGACACCCAAAAAACTGTTTCAGTAAAATATTCAGGAAAAGTCATAGCGTCTGCATCTTTTTCACAGCATGGTTAGAGGAGATCCCCAGGCAAATTTAATCAGAGTTTCTGTTTCTAATGTGCATTTTATTAACCCTGTGTTTTATTGTTCAACCTATACATTGATATTGAGTCAGGTTTGGTTTTACAGATTCAGAAATGCTGCTAAAAATCTAGCCATTTTCGGTGATGCTTGCGACTACATTCATTACCAAATAAAATGTTAAAACTCTTTCCATTTGTAGCATCTCAAAGATAACGTGTAAACCACATTAGCTCCAACGCTGAGGGATCTGGCACCCGGCGTAATAAAACACCCGGTTATTTTGTATTTTATTAACTGCCCCTTCTCTTCAGTTTGCATAATAGTGAGTTAGATTTACATTTGTTAAGACGGCCGTGCATTACTCTTAATAGAAGACATGTCAAACTTCCCGTTGCCGGTACTGCAGCATGATAAAGTAACCTCATATGATACTGATGAAGATTTCGTTCACACTTGCTGGTTTCATGCAACGTCTTTTTTTCCAGATGGATACCCTATTGTAAAATGATTTCCTGCTTTAGGCTCTGCTTTGTGTAGCTCTCTGCTATGCCATCTTTCTATGAACTGGATAAACTGCCTATTAAATTTAATTACAGCCTGAATGACTGCACATCTTGATCTTATTTTTCCTCCAATGTACTGTATTTCACCAAGGTCCTTGAGGATGAAATAAAATAAATCTGAAGGATGCATACTCCAGTAGCCGAAAGAAATGTTTCAAAGGGCATTACAATGACTGTTAACCCATTAGTTTTGGACCGTTTTGAAGGCTATTCTTTAGGTTTAGGATTATAAAGACATTTTCTCCTATCTTTTCTTCTGTCATTTAAAAAAATAAAACAAAATAGAGGAAGTTGCCACAATAGAAATTCAAATAGAAATGATGAAGTTAATTTCTTATCCCTTAAAAAGAGGGGGAGTGGGGGAAAGCACGTATGCACCTTCAAACTGTTCAGCGTGGTTAGCGTTTATTTTTTGCAATAAGGGCCTAATGTAAATATTACCGTCTCGAACCTCCACCCTATTACAAGTCAGGATGAACATTGGGCTGGTGGTGCCTCTGGGACCCATCAGGACTTCTCCCTTCGTGGCTGATGGTGGTCGTGGCGTCTGCAGAGACAACCCCGGGAGGGGGTGGCAGAGCATCACAGCCAAGCTGAGCTCGCCCCACGTCCCCTCGTCGACCTCTTCAGGCCCTGTGTCCTTCCTGTGAACCGAAGAAAGCTGATAAGCTGATGGGCTTCGGAGGTTTCTGAGGAGGTGGACGTCCTTGCCATCAGCAGTGATGGTGGCAGGCTCGCTAGAGTTGTTTCCTGCAAGAAAGTGCGATGGGTGTAAATTGAACGCTTTTCGATGGCTGTTTATCTGCTGTGTCTGTTAGACTTTTAGGTAGAGACTCCTCTCATTTAACTTTATTTTAAAAGTTAATTTAACATTTTAACTTCAACCAGCTAAGACTAAGGCAGCTAATCACATCGGCTTCCCTTGCAGCTGGGGAGAATGCCACCATCTGAGGGGATTTTCCCTTAATCTGCCTTAAGTACCTATCTGGAGTGGGTGGGCCTTTTTTTGGAGATGCCTCTCTCTTTCTTGGTTTGTCAACAACCTCAGATGAGACATGGAAGAGAGAAACTCTGCCTTTGTTTTTCTGTGGTTGCAGCTCAGCACCTTTTGCAAATTTATTACCAGCATATTTTTACAGGTAAAATTCCTCTTGCAATGAAGAGGTTGCCCAGATGCTGAAGGCAGCTGCAACGCACACTAAACTTGGTGGCTCATGAAATAGTGGGGAGGCCATCATGCTGACAGCATCCCAAACAGCACTGGATCAAGTGCTTGCAAAATGGGAGTATGCTGCATGGTGAAGAAAGAGGAGAGGGGCCTGGGGTATTGCAGAGCTGTTGTTACCTGTTTTTCTTCACCCCATGGGAATCACGTGTGGGTTGGAAACAACTGGCCAGGTTTCCCTTTGACACCATCTTTTGTTGGACTAACTAGCATCAGATCGATCACAGCAACTTTTGAGTCAGCCGGTTCTTGGCTGACATGTTGAACTTTTTCAGGGGTTAAGTGGTTATTCTGAATGTATGAAAACACGAGTTTAATCACAAACTTAACACAGATTTTCTACGCATCCTAGAAAATTACAGACTTTTGGATTAAGATACATGAATATATGGAAACACCCTCTGAAAGGTGTAGCTGGAATGTCCTTGTAACACTTCAAATGGTAGGGTATATGTTGGATGCACCGTCAAATGAGCATATAGCATTCATCAGTGCACATGGTGTTTTTCCTAACATCGTGTAAAGAAATACTCTTTAATTCATGGGAGACTGTAGCTTGAGAAAGCTGTAAAACTCTTGCAGAGCCACAGAGCAGATAAATTAAGTAGAACTAATTTGCTAAGACCTTAAGTATGTGAAACTATGTTCCAAATACTGTGCTGCTTTTTCCAGATGAGGACCTGATATTCTTGTTCCACTGTTCATTTCTATTTTCTGGGGTACAACTGTAAATTGTCTCTCTCAATGCACTTATTATATAGTGGCAAGGAAGAATAATGATAGTGGCATTTGGAAATGTTTAAGTTCATTTGTATTCCTTGTACAGATGGCCTCTGCAATCGTAAGTAACAGAGAAATATCCAAGGAATTTTCAGGCGATTAATCCACGTTTAAAACCAGCATCATCCCAACAGCAAGCTGCAGAAAATGCCTGGAATGTTAATAGAAAGTACTTCTGGAAGGAATACTCGGTTGTTGTTTCTTTCCCTTGAAAACCATTTACTGAAAGGGATGTTGTTGATTTATGGTGCCTTCTGTCTGTCTTTCCAGAACTCCAGCGCAGATCATCGGGTTCGACTGGACCTTGGGCTTTGGGACAAATTCAGTGAACTTGCAACAAAGTGCATTATTAAAATAGTGGAATTTGCAAAGCGATTGCCAGGCTTTACAAGTTTGACCATTGCAGACCAGATAACTCTACTTAAAGCAGCCTGCCTGGATATACTGGTATGTATTTTTAACATCATTGTTATGCTACTAATGTATTTTCTGTTGCTCTTTTTACTGTAATCGACAGCGAGAGGGGGGTCAAATACTGCCCTGGCCTTATGGTTGCAAACTTGAGCTTACCGGGTAGTGTGGTACAGTCACAAGTGGACTCTAGCACATTACAGACCTGTGTTATGTGGGATGAGCATACTTTTCAAAATAAGTCCTTATAGTTTGTGGATTTCAGTATAGTTGCAAGAAGGGCACATTTTGGTATTGTGGCACTAACTTGAAATATGTGCAACTTTGGAAAAATTTCCTTATTGTTAACGCTGAAGAGAGATCGGATTCTCTTTCCTTCTTCCTCCCTCCAAAACATAATGCTCTGCATAAAGGATACCTAGAAAGACAGTCCGCTGTGTAACGTTTTAGGAACGTGCTGTACCTGTGTTCATGAGGTGATCCGAGAAACAAGATAAAAATCTTCAGAGTGAGGTTTTTGCAGGTTGTAGAGGGGAACCTGGTGTGCCTGGAGCCCGGCAGGCGCACACCTCCGGCATGCAGATCCCCCTGCTTTCACCAGTGCTGCAGGCACCTGTGGAAGTGGACACTGTAATGGAAACTGTACAGATTTTAGCTAAATGTCATTTCATTTTAAATAGGCAAACATACAACCTGCAGATGGTCTTGGAGTTTTGCTCCAGACTTTGCCACTATGTCAAGGCAAACTGTCTTTACTCCCTTTGTCTCTGGTTGTTTCTGTCATGCTGACCTTCAGAGGAACCCTCTGGGATCTCAGCATTTCTTTATCAAGACCTTAGAAGTCTTCAGGCTTTTAGTGGCAAATACGCTTCTTATTATTGGTCGTAGCAGTAACTTTGAGTAGAACAGTTAGTATTTTCAGCATGTTTTAAACATATTTTAAATGTTTTCTGAGTACAAACCTTCAGGGCTTCATTGAGCCAAGCACGGCCAAGAAGCCCATTATAGGATGGCTACTGTAGATATATTTTTTGGCATGACACAGAATTTTGAACTAGGGAATTTGAAGTAATTGATCTTGGAATTTCTAAAAGTGCATTGCTTCAAACAGGATCATATTGAGGAGGATGTTAACTGCTGTGACCTTTTCCTCTTGTTTTGTCAAAAGCCGTTTTGAAGAATCGCATCTAGAAGACATTGATGAAGGAGGAAGAGGGGTGAGAGAGGGGAAGGGTTATCAGTCTCCAGCCTATTAAAAAAGGGAAGGTTGAAGTTGGCCTGCCGTGCTCGAGATTCACCTCTCGTTGTCCCCTTTGTCCAGGCGCTCGTTCAGACTCGGCCATCTCATCGTTACTGTGTGTGGTCCCTCTGCAGGGCAGGGCCATTCATTACCAATTGCACGCCCGTCGTCACCAGCTCTGTCCTGATAAGACGCAGTTACGTTCCCCTTACACCGAAAGGCGTACCATAATCGATAAACTGTGGCACTGCCTTGAGTGTATTCTGCCAAACATACGGGACAGAAACTGCTTTGCGCTTTGATGTTGTAACCAGTAACAAATGGTTAATGCAGAAACTACCCAAAGATGATGGGGAGGAGTCAGGATATAGCAAGAATCTGCACATCCAAACTCTTTACCCCTAAAACTTCAGCCCTTAAGCTGCCACCCCCTATTTGCTGCTGCCATGCCCTGGCTCCGTAGCTGCTGGAAAAAAACCACACCGTAATTCTGTAATTGCTCAGGATCCTGCCAGCTCCTGACGCTCTTTGTTGGGGTGGGTAACTGGAGCTTACCCCAGGAGTGTGCACAGGCCCTGTGGCATGGGGTCCTCACGGCAGCTCCGCTCACTGCTTTTGTCGCCAACACTGGCTGGACGATATCAAGTATTTAGGGTAGCCTTTCTGCTTGGGGTTTTATCTGAAGTGCCTAGATAAAGGCACTTCACAGCCTTTGATCAAAGTGACTAAATAAAAGCCTAGATGTCAGATTAGAAAAAGAGTAATGAAGCAGGTGGTAAATGGTGACTTTATTTCAACCAATTAATGGATAGAAAGGGTTGATTCTTTAATACAATTCACTACCTTTACTTTGTGGCCATGTGGCAACCTTCAAGCTCTAGTTATAAACTTTATTGAGACCTGTCATTCCTGATCACCTGCTCATTCTCTTTTTTATTTTTCACGAAGCCGGAGGTGTCACATCCGAGCAAGCAGGGCGTAGCGAGTGCCATAGCTACCCGTAGCAGGGAGGAGCTGAGGCTTTTTCAAGAACGGGAGCAGATGAGACGTGGTTGCCGTGAAGAGTCCTAACTTCCCTGCGCGACATTTACACAAGCTTTATGTGACTATTTTATGTGCTGCTTAAAAAGAAAAAGGGATAATTACCACAAGCACAGTAATGCGCAGTGCACGCGCTGTCTGTGAAATGCCCATATCCATTAAACCCACATCACCTGCACATAACCGGAATTGCAGTGCAGCTCTGTATCTTTATTTAAGCTAAACTTCAGTACTTGGAGCGGTGTTTTAATAGCGCATATTTCCCCCCAGCAAGCCAGTTCTCCTAATGATGAGTGTTTCGAACGCTTTATTTGGTTGCGCATTGAGACGTGGACGAGCGCCGTTCCCCTTCCTGCTGCGTGAGCGCCCGCTGCCGGTGCCTGCCCGTGGTCTGCTGCGTGAACACGGGCATGGGCCTCACCGCTCTGCGCTCACGATCCCGCTGCTGTGCAATTCCCCTGGACCTGTCCCCAGAGCCCCGGCACGTGGGAGGAACAGCGTGGGGCTCCCAGCCCAGCCAGGTAGGGTGGCCGGGCTCTCCCCACCAGCAGGACCCCAGCTTCCCTGCCCGCCTGCCCGTCAGCACTGACTATGGGGGGGGACGGGACCCTTAAGCATTTATAGACCCTGCCGAGGGCTCTGCTCCATTGGTTCCTGCGGCCGTGGATGCTTAAAGCCCCCCTTAAACAGGCTGACAAAGGAAATGGTGCCAGGAGCTCAGTAAACTCCGCTGGGTGTGTGCCAAAGAATTGTTTTATATACAAACAAGCAAAATCTCTGGAAGGGAAATAACATCAAGCCTCGCAAGGCAGCTGAAGGTGCCAATTGAGGATGGTGGAATTTATATCTGCTCTGGTGCCAAAAGTTCCACGGATAAATATTACTAAAATTCAGTCAGTAACCGTCATAAATTAAGTCAGTACTTCTGTCTGCTGGTACGCTGGCCCGGCAGCGGTCAAGCATCACTAGCCTCACCGAGCTCTGGTAAAATGAACGTGGAAAGAGTCCAGAGTCCAGCCTGTCTTAAATCTGATGGATAAAAACCTGAGAAGTCCTTGAACGCTAATCCTTAATAATGTCATTTTTGCTTTCTGCTGTAAAACCCTGAGTGTTAATGCTAGGAAGGCATTTGTGTGTGCGGAGCAACCCATGCTGATGGGGTATGGCAGCTCCATGGAGGTTTGTTCATTGTTTCAGAGTCACCTGCTTGGGTTTCTCCTCTCGGGAAACTGTCCCAGCCAGCTAAGGCAGCTAGCATCTAACAACAGGATTTCTTAAAATAAAAGCCCAGCTTGCCTTAACTAATCTTTTTAAAATGAGTAACAATTCTATAGTAGCAACAATTTTGTAAATGCAGCTTTCTGGATGGTTTTGGTTTTGTGCGACCCATAGGGTTTTTGCTTTGCGCTTTGTGACTGGCTCATAGGAACCCCAGATGCTTCAAGATATAAATATTCCTTAAAACAAAGGGTCCTTTAATCATGGGCAAGAACCTTATTTATGGCTCCAAGTGGCGTTTAAGAGCAGAGTGACAACTAAAATACTTGGCTTGGTTACAAAATCTAAACAACACTGAAGACATTAGGAGGATGTCTTCTAGACAGCAGTTCAGTTTAAAACAGAGAAAGATACCGTGATTTCTTATTCTGAAGTGCTGACATTTCCCATATGTTCTTCAGTGTGTATGAGCTTGAAATCAGCTTCACTTTGACACTGGAAGTTTGCCCAAGAAAGGTTTAGCAGCGAATCAGCAATATCCATGGCGTTTTGCAGATCTCGATGAAGGACACAAATTTAAAAAAAAAAAAAAAAAATTTCAAATGATCTGTCTCGGCGTTTAATAACAGCGTGTTGTGGGATAATGTCGAAGGAATGCAGGAGAAACCTGAGACCTGATAGCTGCAGTCAAGCTAAGTGCATTGCAGAAAACGTATAGTTGAGCTTCAGCTGTGCCAGTGCCCAGCAGAGCTGCTGCAGGCTCCTCCAGCGCTGTGCAGGCTGGCACAGCATTTAGGTACGAAGCCTGAAGTCTGCCTTTTGCAAAAAGCCATCCTGCTTGCTGCCTAAGCCTGGAAGTAGCTAAATTCCATGGGACCTTTATGTTTTAGTTCTCAATTTTGCAAGGCCCCTGGAAGTCTCTTTCTGTGCATGCCCACGGGGGCTCTAGGCTGAGTCACCTAACCTCAAATTCATTCCCGGTGAGGATCCAGCCTGGAAATCTTCCTCAGCGTTAACCCTGGGGGGCTGTGATCTGGTAGGTCTTTGCTGAGCACCCCTAGCACGCACCCCCAAAAGGAGCGGGGCTTTACGGCACCGGGGGGTGAGCACGGAGAGCTTCACGGCGGGGGAGCCAGCAGCCTGTTGTATGGCAGGAGGTGCGCGTTCGGCCGCCGGGTTGTTGGGGATGAGTGCTCCGGAGAACCCCAGTCCCTCCGGGCCGGGAGTCTCTGGGCAGTGCGGCGCTGGCAGCCGGTGTCCAGACTTGCCCTCGGAGGGAGGGTACGATGGAACTGTACCTGCCAGCTCTGCTTGGGCAGCTGCCGGTGAGGCTGCGGGCAGCCTTCAGGAAACACCGTGGCGTTGCCCAATTTAGTTCCAAGTCCTGCTCTGCTAATTTGTTGGGCTGGCAGTCCTGTGGTTTGGAGGGAGGAACTCATGTTACTAAGGCTTATCAATTAAAATAGCACCGGAATAAAAGGGGCTGCCTTTCTCCCTAGCTGAGCTAAGGGAAAATTAGTACCACTTAAGAAGTACAGAGCCTTGTTCCTCCACAAGTTGGATACCTGATCATCACAGGCCACATACCCTTACTGGAAGGCAGCTACTCTATATGCAGGCTTCAGATGGGGAGAACTGCACTCCAGTTTCTCTTGCATGCCATTAGAGAAGTAAACCAAGTAGCTCTTGGGTTTCTCAGTAAGTATGCAAAGTTTTCAAACCTAGCTTTTCTTAAAAACAACAAACTCTGCATGTTTCTTCTCCTTTCTATACAAGCCTTTTAATGATTTAAAAGAATAACCAACAGTGAACTTCAGGAGAGAGAACTGCTGGTGGTCACTGGCAGGGCAGAATATGGTAAACATGCTGTCTCTTATTGACAGGGTGCCATATTTTACAATGTTAATTTCTGCTAATAATCCTGAAATACAATTTGGCTATTACATAAAACCTTTGGAGTTACCAGCAGCCTTTTAAGATCACGTATATTAGTTGGGGAATTTGTGGTCAGTGAAGAATTTGAGTGCTGCACGTTTGTATTTGTGCCTCTCTTTGTCATTGATTCAAGTAATTTCAAGAGCTTGTTTTCATTCAGGGGTAGGGGAACGATGTGAAACATGCCTGTCCAACCCCATAGAGTCTCAGTGCTTCGATGTATACCCACAATGTGAGATAAGATTATTGCTGAGATAGAAAATAGTTGAAGAGCCTTCTGCAGAAATACACCCTACTGAGTCTCTTACTAAGGAATTTAAGAAGAGAAATAAAGGCTTCCCTGTAGGTCTTTTACATGCTGTGTCCTCCTCACTCTCCTCCCTGCTTATTTGGAGCAGTGTTGCCAGGCAAAGATGAAAAGTGGGAGAACCAAGCCCAGACTGGTCAGCTGCCAAGTGCTGGGGCCTCTGACTCAGAGCTTCGGCAGCTATAGGAATAATTAAAATTCTCCCTGTGCTCACTTATGTTTGTGTAAATCTTTTTTGTTGAGTCTTTAAAACCAAGTAGGATGGCTGTATGGGAAATAAATATAGTCAAGCCCTGAAAAAATATAGCTGTAGTCTTAGCCTAGCTAATCAGCTAGACTTCTACAAGGTTTTATTTTAGTTTAGTTTAGGGATAAGCCTTCTCCCCCCTCTGATTATTTTAAACATTAAGCATTGATATATATATATAACAGAAATATGTCAACATGATGGACATATCTTTTATTTGATCCTTAAGGCAGCGTTCATTAATAGCAGCTGTACAAATGAGCCCGTGCCGTACACAGTCTTATCACGGGACGCATCCTGGGTCTGCTCTGAGAGGCAAAAGCGTTCACGCACTCACTCTCTGGCCGTGCTGCCACCTCCGCCGTGACAGCACTGATGACACTGCAGTTACCCCAGAGGCATTTACTAACAAAATGCAGAGCATCCTCGGTGTTTTATTCATGTGTTTTGCATTCCTCCGTGTCCAGTTAGAGGTGTGAATCCCCATCCTCCCCTCGAACGCTCTCTCGTCTGGGGTCAGTGCTGGGTAGCTGTCGGCATACAAGCAAGCTTGCCAAAACCAACACTGCCTGGGCTTGCACGGGAGCGAAGGACACGGTCAGCAGCGGGAAGATAGGCTTTGCACCAGGCAGGCAGGGTGCGCGCTCTTACCATGCCCAGGGCTCAGGATGGGGGAAGCGCCGGAGCCTCAAGGAAGGCTGGAGGCCAACGGGCCGGTGAGGAGGTTCAGTGTTACGGCACGCGCAAGTAACAACAACCGTAAGAGAAGAAAAGCTGGGCCAACTGCCCAGGCTGCCGGCCGGGCTGCCGGCAGCCCCGCACGCTGCGCTGTGGAGGTTCAAAGTTCGATAATCCGCTCGGGTGCGAGCTCCCAGGCTGGCAAGACAAGCGGCGCTCCGTGGAGACCATAACTGCAGCTGCTCGGGAGCGGGAGGGCTTTGCACTGCTCTCGGGGTGCTCACGCAGGGTTGTGTTCACACAGCGGTGTTCTCCTGTCTGCTGTCTCGGACAAAAGGAAGGCACCCCAAAGCACAAGTTACCACGGACAAAAGGAAGGCACCCCAAAGCACGAGTTGCGTTCTGCCTCTTTCACCAACTCACAGCTGTCTGCGCTCACTCACACAAGATACCGCAGAGACACTCTGTCCTTACCAAAGACACAACCCAGAGAAGCACTGTCATGCAAAATTGATCCCCCAAATCAGTGAAATATGTTTATATGTGTTCAAAGAGGTGAGATATTTTTATGATCTTGCTGGATCAGATCAGCAGTGCGAGAGCATTTTAAAGTTAGGTCTGTAGAGCGTACTAATTAAAGAGCGGTTTATGTGAGTATTATGGTAATGTTGGTGACATGGGAAATGGCGAGAATTGCGTAGAAGTTTTGATTATTTCATAACTAGGGGGAAAATTTCTGTTCTTAAATTTCTGTTACAAAAAATACCCATAGTCAATGGACTATATTTATGTTGTACCGGAGAATTTTTGTGCTACTAGACCTGAACAAACTGGAGTTTGATTTCGGATTGTTTTGACGTGACCGTGTAGTGCAGTTCCGTGGGTCATTTGCCACCATCGAGAAAATGCAACAAACCTCTCATGGATTGAATTCTTCAGGTTTTTTGGTTTTTTGTTTTTTTGGGTTTTTTTGTCCTTCCACAGATCCTTAGAATTTGCACAAGATACACACCAGAACAAGACACCATGACCTTTTCAGATGGCCTTACCCTAAACCGAACTCAGATGCACAATGCCGGATTTGGCCCACTGACTGATCTCGTGTTCACGTTTGCCAACCAGCTCCTGCCTTTGGAAATGGATGATACAGAAACAGGTCTCCTTAGTGCCATCTGCTTAATCTGTGGAGGTATCGTACAGCACGAACTCAGATGCATTTGAAATAGACACGATAATTATTATCTTCAGTTCTGTTTTACTTGTTTGGCTTTCCTGTACTAAAACATATATATAAAATATATATATATATGTGTAATATTACTATATATGTTATATAAACCACTTAACACTGAAGGTTTGTTTTCCACTGGTGATGGTTATTGGTTTTATTATTGATATGTTTTTAAATGAATCGAATCATTCTGTCAAGCAACCGATCCTATTATTTGCTTGATAAAGGACTACAGGATATATCCAACTGCATTTCTTTATAAGCGGTATATGGGTACCTGTATGAATGACCTTTGTTACGGCAAGATGCCCGTTGCACAGCTTTTAGTCATAAATATAATTGCATGCATACGTGTATAGTTACATTCACATAGAAGTCATCAGTGATAACTTTAGAAAAAAATAGATTATACTTTGAAATTAGCATAGTGGCACTGATGACGTGATTTGGGGGGGGACTGATCACAACTTGAAAGGGACATTGTCAAGTAAAATCAGGTAGAATCATGGTTTTAAATACAAAAAGCAAAGTTGCAGATAATTTCCAAAATCCTCTGTAAATTTCTGTTATTTTAATCCCCTAGTCTCTCTCTTCCTTTGCAAAATCTGGACCAGCAGTAGAAACACACCTTGTTTAGTTGGGCCATTTTTTTTTAAATGCAAACTGGGTGCTACCAGAGCATGTTTAAAAAACAACTCAGTCTTTGCTGACAATGGCCCTTTAGTACAAAATCATTCCGATTTTATGTGTCTCTAACCATAGCCCATCAAAAGCATTGATGGGTTCTGAGATGTCATTAGTATGTGACTGGTGCATCCTGGTTCATGGGTGACATTTGTTGTCACTCAAGCTAGCACTGCCATCTGCTGATACCTGATGGTAACTCACTTTATTTTAGTATTGATACAAAAAATAAATTAGTGGTTAATCTCTTTGTATACCTAGGTAGCTTATCAATGACGCATACAAAATTAATTCTGAAATACTGTTTGCAGCGAGGTGTTTTCCCCTTGGAGAGGGAGATACAAGAGCAAACTGGTAATTCCAGACCACTCAAATGACAAACCTTTCCAGTCACCAGGAAAAATGAATCTAAGTTTGAGAAAGCCATGGTTTATCCTCTTCCTGTGGCATACTCACTACAGAGTGTGGGTCATAATTGGAGAGAAAGATGAAATTCATGGAGTTCTAATCAAGAACATGGAGGAGCTTCTGTGATTTGCAGTTTGTAAAAAAAAAAAAAAAATATTTAAAATCATACGAGCAATATGATACTTTTCTACAGATCGCCAGGACCTTGAAGAACCAATGAAAGTGGATAAGCTTCAGGAACCATTGCTTGAAGCACTGAAAATTTATATCCGAAAGAGACGACCCAACAAGCCTCATATGTTCCCAAAGATCTTAATGAAAATCACAGATCTTCGTAGCATCAGTGCAAAAGGTACAGTGCCTCCCAATAATTTGGCAATAGTCAGTGTTACGTTTCAGAGGAAACTGGCCTAGAGACCTGGGTTGTTATTTTTTTAATATGTCAAAGAAAGGTCCTTGTGACCTTTCTCTTCTCTTCTTCTTTATGTAACTCCCGTGTTTAAATTGGTTCTACTGTAAACATACATGGTGCTACATTCTTCATGCAACTTAGGGTAGAGGTAGGTTAGCAAATCATTAGCACGAACCCTTTGTTAGTCATTTTAAGACAAGATAAACCCCTGAATTAAACCTTTGTTAATGTTTACAAGGGGGTGCAGGTCAACATGTACTTTGTATCACTAATGGCTTTCAAAAAAACAAAGTCTGTTTACAGACATCAGAGAAGACTTCTGCATCCAAAATCCCCCTAAACTGTGGTGTGACGTACTGAAGATTTAGAACTGATTTGATCCAGGAATTTGGAGATTCAGCATCTCTAATCCAAACTCACCATGTTTACTCATGGATCAATTTTACTTTAACATTTTGTGTAGTCTCACATGCGATCGATTGATCATGTGAAACGCACACAGTCTAAACGCTATCACATAAATTCTCTAAACACGAGTATAGTCGAATGCTTCCATTTCACCAGAGAGGTTCCCTGGTTAGTGCTTTGTCCCTGGACACCTGCAGCCTGAGAGGGGAGGCTGGGCAGCTGTTCTGAAAGCAGCAGCGGATGGTCAGCACTGCGTCAGCTCGTTAGCAGCCTCTGCGCACGCCTGTGCTGCGGAGTTGAAGGTGACAGTGTTCCTCTCGTTTGTGTACCCCTGTATCTCCCCAGGACCCAGTTCCAGACGTGTCTAGCTGTTCGGTATCTGTTCACCTCCAGCCTTTCTGCGGACCTGTATCAGAGTTGTACCAGCCTGAATACAGAGTCCAAAGTGCTACCATTCTCATTTTTTAGTGTTTGATGCAGTTCCACTTTCTTACTATGCTTATTCAGCTACAGATTTGCTACCCCTGACAGATAAGCAAGTACATGAGCTTTTACGTACAGGTACCTATGTAGCTATAGACTGGATTTATGCTTTTGAAAAGATTACTGATTTCCTTTGACCTGGTTTTTGAGAAGACTTCAGGGAAAAAACCCAGCCGTTAAATCACTCAAATGCACTTATTTTACATTAAAACCTGAACTGTTATACTTTAAACAATATAGATCTGTTAAAAGATGAAGCTATAGCTATGTTTATAAAAAGAAGTGAGCAATTTAATTGGATTGGTTAGTACCTAAAGAGTAACTTAAAAGGGAAACACCAGACCTGGAAGCAAAACTATCCTAAAAAGGAACCGCTTACCAGGTTACCCCCCAGTAAAGCAAGCTCCATCCAACTGAATCCACAAAATAAACTTACTTACCGCAGTACTGAGCTATAAAAATATTTAGGGGGAGCCCTTTTCATACTACTGTTCTTGCTTGTGGGAAATCTATTTCCACTTTCCTGCTTCTTTGCCAGAGCCCTCCAGCTCCCTCAAGAACACGGCTCTGTCTCTTTATGTTCAACGCACAAGAAAAAGGATTCTTCTTTCCATTCTGACATAAGTATTTAATTATATCATTAATGTTTTATAGTAGAACTAAATCATACCAAAGGACTGGTGATGTCCTGGAGGGGTGGGTGTGTCCTGAGTTTCATTTGAAAAGATGTACATTAGAAGATAATGACTTCTGATGTTACATGATCCCTGAAAGCAATTGCCAAAGTAAGCATGAACTGAAAAGACTGAGAATGTCTCCTTATACTGGAGTTCCTTATACAACTACATTCTTCTGTGGTGTTAGATGTATTGTAACAAAAGAACTAAGTATTTGTGGGACCGAAGCAAGAGACCGTCTTCCAAGCTCTCTTATCCCAGTATTAAATTGGACGGTTGCAAGACCTGAAAAATTACTGTGGCTCTACACTGGAATAACCACACAAACACTTGGTACTGCCACTGACCTGCTCTGTACCAGCAGAAAGCAGATATTTAACATGGCCAAATTCAGCTCATTAACACTGCTCTGACTACAGCTGGTTTTCAGAGCAGCTCTCGACATAATTCTGCATTAATTTCTTTCTAACCATAGTGCTTGCTCCTTTGTTCCTAACAGTTATTTAAGAGACTTTTTAATCAGCATTCAATTGGAAAGTTGCTCATTGCCTTTGTAGATGATTTTGAAGCTTGTCAGTTAAGACATGAACATAAGCGCTCCCTTCCACTCTGGGGTTACCACTGTGACTGACAGCGTGCTCTCTCCAGCATGTACATTGCAGCAGCATGGATAAGCAGAATCTATCCAAAGGTTCTCTCCTCTGGAATGGTTCTTCGATAACCAGACTATTTCCTCTTTAATTTTTTTGGCTCTTCTTGCCTTCCTTCACTTGTAAAAAGCACAGATTCCTGTTCTGTTAGACTCAAAATTTAAGATGATCAGGAATCCTATGCAACTGACCAGGTATTCGAATGCTGAATTTATGGCTGCAAATTGCCTGGTGTTGTCCTGGTAAGAAAAAGCTTTTTCCCTGTCAGCAGCAAAATATGTAAAGCACATTCATGCTTCGGTGTGGAACAGAATCTTGCTGTATATCCTCACTTTATTTGAGGTGTAATCCTAAATACTCCTGTCTCTTTATGGTCCTCACCACTCAGTAGCTGAATGTTTAATTTATTTTCAGTCCTTCAGCTGTAGCACTTGCTTACAAGAGACCGTTGTACTTCCTGAAGCTGTATTAGTGTTACTGCTGACTGTTGAGGGCTTTCTGAACATGGCTTGCCTATCACTGTAAGCAGCAGCAACACAGAGCAACCGCAGCAGCTGAACCCTCCTGCTTTACAGATCAGGCTTTTCCCAGCAACAGCCTTTCTTTTCACTGAGAAGTTTTGTCCATCCAGTGTTTGTGGATTCCTAGGGTTGTAGTAACTTACTTATTAATCCCCAAGCAGTTCCTTCAGAGTTAACTGCCTGTTTTTTAAATGCAGGCTGCTGCTCATGCCGTACCCCTGCATACCAACTAAGTACAGCGCTTCCTGGGAGCACTGAGCCAATGTCTTGTGCAAGTTATGAGCAAAGTGTGAGGTGGCTGCGTGTTCGTACAGCCTTTGCTGTATGCCTGCCATGTTCAAGCAGCCTTAACACATCTTAGGAGCATCAGGCACTATCGTGGGTTTTTTTCCCCCCAAACTAGTGTTAGTTGTTTGCTCACAGTCTGAGTAGTCAGGATTGATGTAGTAATTTAGTTTAATCCTACACACTAGCCTGCAAAGCCATCTCTATATAAAAATACCTGTTGTTACACTTGACAAGGCCAAACACTGAACAGTTAGCTTCAGTTAAGTCAGTCAGTCAGATGTAAACAGTAGTAGTGTTTCTGTGTACTTTTGTGGTTAATTAGCACAAGAGAAGATGCCTGAAAACTGCAGAAGGCAGCTTCACAAAAAAAGTATCCTTTGCCTGAATTCATTCTTTTATAAAACAACAGTTTGTTAAATTTGGATTCTTGTTTCAGAGTTTTCTGTATGGGAAAGAAATGTTCTGACTTACATCGCTGCAGTTCTCTCACAGGATTCGCCTCACCTATTTAACACAAATCAGCCAGAATCGTTGTCATTCTATAGTCTTTGCAGATCCAGTACAGATTAAAAACTGTAAAGTATATTCCAATTTATAAACATCTACATGATCACAGTTTAATTTAATTTTTCAGTATAATTTAATGGCATTCTGGTTCCTTCTATGAAAAGAAGCAGTTCATCCAATTTACCTGTATTGTAATAATGAGTTGCTATGTCATAATTTAAAATTAATTTAAGGATTATTCATGTAACTCCTTTTTCTTGTAATGAATGAAGTCATTCACTTATATGATTTTGTACGCAAGAAGTATAGGAGGAGACGCCAAAGCCATTAAAATAACGTACCTTGAAATTTCTGCTGACGATGTTAACAAAAAGGAAACTGTACGAATCATACTAATGGAAAGGACTTTTTGTTTTCTTTTTAAAGGTGCAGAACGTGTCATTACATTGAAAATGGAAATTCCTGGATCCATGCCCCCACTTATTCAGGAAATGTTGGAGAACTCTGAAGGACACGAACCACTGACACCAACCTCAAACGGCAATACTGCAGAACACAGTCCTAGTATCTCACCTAGTTCAGTGGATAACAGCAGTGTCAGTCAATCCCCCATGGTGCAATAAGACATTTTCCAGCTACTTCAGACATTCCTAATACCTTATGTACAGGGATGAAAAGCAAGAAAAACATTTTTACTGCTGCTTAGTTTCTGGACTTAATATATATCTATATATGTGTATATATATATAGATAAAAACTCAACAAGGACCAAGAAATTTTCATATGTATCGATATATACTCCTTGCTGTTTAAACTCTTAAAACTAGAAAATGCAAACTTTTGAAACTCTAAATCAGCCATTTCATGCAAAAAAATAGTTAAGCTTCTGTTTTCTCCTCTGAACATTCAAGACTGCATGGTGACAAGACAGATCTCAAACTTTAAATTCTGGTTGCATTTCTGATGACTTTGTACATACAAATGTATGGCTGTATTTTCCATACTGGATGTTTGGTGCTTTCCTTTTGTCTCATACCTGAAATGATCAAGACACCAACCATATGAAATGGACTACTGTACACATCCAGAAAAGGAAGTTTAAAGGACTGTCTGATTTAGTTTAATATGAAAACTTGTCTTTGATGCCCTTGGTTTGCATCTCCTTCCTTGTAAAAAGTATACAAAAATTCACTGCACTAGCAGAAGAGACATCAGTATCAGCATTAACTGCCAGATCAGTTATTCAGATGTCATTTGTTCCACTGTTAATGTCACTTTAAAATTTAAAGAAGTGGTTTCTTACCTGGCTGGTGACCTAGCTACACGATTAACTACTACATTTCTACAGTAGTGATAGCCTCCAAGGCAGAAACACTTTTTAGTGTTACCATGTTTTTGTTTACCTGTTCACAAGCCATTAGGGAAACTTTGTGGGATGATAACCAGCAGACTCATCTACAGCTTTTGAATTGGCAAGTCTAGGGTATTTCCTTAAGAATCGACTGCCAGGAATTAGCTGGGTTATCCAGCCTTCCAGGTGCTAGGGAAGTACAGCTAGGACTTCCAGAAACACAAGGAGAGAATCTGCCTTCTTGGCCTTGTTAAATCACCATGAAGCAGAGTGAAAACTGTGGTAGAATGGTTAACAGATTTAAAGTGTCAGTTTCTTAGGTTTCATTTAAAGCACTAGTGGATTTTTTTTTTTATATATTCTAGCAAGTCTGTGATGTACTTTCACTGGCTCTGTTTGTACATTGAGATTGTTTAACAATGCTTTCTATGTTCATATACTGTTTACCTTTTTCCATGGAGTCTCCTGGCAAAGAATAAAATATATTTATTTTAAAAAAAAAAAACACCCAAGTGTGTAGAAGTAGTCCCTCCAGCCCAAATTTTACACACACAGAGTAGTTTTCCATTTTTTAATGTTTAAACTCCATTTCAAAAAGCAGGTTTGCTGTTTGCAACCATGACAATTAAAATGTGCTTTAGCACAGCTGTCTAGAACATCTCTACAAGCCAGTCAGACAAATACATGACATTTCAATGAGTAAAAAAGAGCATAAAACTGTAGGTGTAAGAACAAAATGTTAAAATGCCTACACACAATAATAAAAACCATCAATTACATTATCACATAAAATAAGTCAAATGTACAAAAGTTTGCGACAGAAGGGACAAAAGGACAACACAAGATAGTTGTTGGAAAACATTTGTGTGCTCTTTGGGCACTTAATTAAACATATCAAAATCATCATCTTCATCAGACTCTGCAAAATATTTAACTTCTTTTCTAGCCCGGCCTGTCCGTGGCTTTGGGGCAGTTTCGGAGGCGAAGCCTGACTGAAAGATTTCCACATCAGAATCCTGGTCAAAAGCAGCCTTCTTGGATTTCTTTAGAAAAGAAACAACAAATCAGTTGTGATGCTGTGTACATTTTCCCTTTTAATATTCAGAATTGAAGAAAACCTTCTCTAACATAACATCTAATTTCTAAACACACCTAAACCTCCTTTATCTATTAGCAAACTATAATAAGAACATGTACCTTTTATGCAAAGTAATCCATTAGGTTCTTTTTACAAGGAGAAAAGAGCATAGATGGAACTGACCTTGCTTGGTGTTGATTTAGGTGTTTTCTTCCCAGGGTTATATTCACCTTCATTTTCTGAACTGGATGCTTTCCTTTTCTTTGCCCCTCTACCTTTTCCTAGGTGAGAGAATAAGATTTAACTTTGTTTTCTTTTTTTTTTTTTTTTTTAATAAAACTCCACACTTCAGCAAACAACAACAAAAAAACCTAGTGAAATTACCTTAGTATGTCTACATGTTAAAGTTCAAATTTAGTTTACAACTCGAGCTTCTTCATAACAGCAGTAAAATACAATATATTTTATTTTCTCAGTTTTAAATCTTTTATGCTTCTTCCAAAGTTACCATTCACCCTAGCAATTCAAACTGTCAGTTCAAGACAGGGATAAACTTCATTCGATCAATGACTTCTACACTTCTGAAGTACTACAAGTCCTCAGTCACCTTCTGTACTGATTACACAGCATTAATTCATGTTTACTATTTAGTAAACTTACTGTTAACCTCAACTATCAACACTGGCACATCCTTTACAGACTCCTCTGGTTACACTGCTTGGTGCGCTGTGTTGCAAGTACTCTGACAACTGAGAACTAGCATACCAAAGAATTGGTTTAAAAAGCCTGAAATGACTACTTACTAGAATTACTACCAGAATTTTACTGTCTTGTAAAAAGCTGAGATCAAAAAAAAAAAAAAGCAGTATCCAGTAAAACTGATGATGAACAAAAAAAGAAGGGGGTTGGAGCTGTTTGTTAAATACATTCCCAGCAGTGAAGGTCAGATAGATGATAAGTTCACACCTTGTTTGTCAAGAAAAGTCAGTACACTGTATTTGTCACAGAAGAGGCTCATGGCCGAATAATCTACTAGCAATTAATTTACTAATAAATCAATGTGGTGCTAGTTTTAGAGACACTAGTTCTGCTTCTTTATAAAAGTGACTGTGAACCTGTGTTACAGAGAACACAGATGTGAGTGTTGAGCAGCACAGCACCAAAACTCTTACCTTTGGGTGCTGCAGTCTTCTTTGGAATGCCGAATTCTGAATCTGAGTCAGAGTTTACAGTTTCCACCTTCTTGGCCTTGGGAGCTCTTTTAGGTTTAGGGGGCACATCTAGTTTTGCTGTTAGAAGTTAGAGATACTAAATATGTTAAATTCACATATCGGTTAGCAGTATTAAATTATATTAGATACTTCAATTACAGCGTAAATGGCAGATATTAAAACAAGATGAGCGGTTTCTGCACTTGGGGAAAACACACTTCATTTTCTATGCTAAAACTGCATGGAATAAACAGGGGGTTTCCTTTGTCATACTTTGAGATGTATCAGTGCATTCAGGAAGTTCCAGTGTTTTTGATTAAATACTTTTTCATCTTTTTGAGCACAAAACAGGTTACCAGTAACTAAAGCAGCAACAGAAGTTCTCCAGGTTGGATACTTTTTTAAACACGTTTGGATACATTACAGTGATTACAGATACAGCTTGCTGCTTGTGACATTTTTGCCTTCACAGTGGTACAACTGCAGGACAACCTTCCTCACAATTACTGCAGGAGTTGGAGAGACAGTGCATCTGACTTACTTACTCTGTGACATTGTTTTCTGTCAATCTATCTCAGTGAAAAGGAACTTCAGAAAAAGCAGAAAGGACAGGAAAGGGACATATCTATCTGCGCATTTCTTACAGAATTTCAATTAGTGCTATGCAACTAGTCTTGCTATCTTTAAGAGACAATCATTGGTATGTTCACACAATGGGTGACTAGTGATAGAATCACAGAATCACTTAAGTTGGAAAAGACCCTTGATTAAGATGATCAGATAATGCGTTCTATGTGCTTACAGACAAGTTGGTCTTTTGCAGAAACCTCAGATATGCTACTGACCTACCCACTATCAATCAGCCATGAATACCTCAAAGGTGATGGGACACATATAAAAAACACTCCAAATACCAGGAATATGGATGTTTGTGAGAACTCAAGCTTTCATTTATGGTATCACTAGAGAAATGCATTCAGACAACAAGAGTGTCCCCACAAACTTTTTGGCTATGATGCCTTCAACTGCTACCCACTGAAGAGTCACTGCACAAAGACGGTTATGTCTTTCCAGCTTTTTGTGATAATATCTACTGGGTAGTCCAAGTATCAGGTCCTGACAATATAAAAAAAAATAAAGCCACCTTTGGCATCACGGATGGGGTGGGGGGGGGGGGGAAATGGTGTTGGCTATGGCAGCATTTCAGATGAGACTTGGGGAGGGAAGCAACAATGCTTGGGATGGAAGTCAGGAACTATATTTGAAAGCAACTTACTTAAAACAGGTCTCTCTAGGTATCTCGGCTGTATTAGCGTGAAGTAAAACTCAGTCACAAAGCCACAAAGACCTACCAGTCAGCTTGGAAAAAGTACGCAGCAACTGAACGCAGAAAGAATACTTTCTAGAAGCATCACCAAAAGTAAGCAGCTCATTATCAGTAAAGGAGGGGACAGTGTTACCTAAGGTACATGATTTTAGGTCCCATAAGGCAACAAAGTCCTGCAGACAGGAAAAAGCTTACTAGCATAAGAAACAGACTAGGGGCCAAGGAAGGGAAAGATTCAGAAGTTTCATCAACTTGAAGATGCCAAGCAGAAATTGTGACCAGGAGAAACTTAGTAGAAGGGATCCATTTTAGGTCTAGGTGACATTTAACATCAGGAGCTGAGATTTAGACATCCTCCTACAGGATTGTGTATGTTCTGGCCAGGTAATTGTGCCTTGCACAGTTTCTCGTGCTGTTAATGTGAAATTTGTGTATCATCAGACAGAAGCCAAGTATACTCCATTAAAAGTACTACCCAGCACATACACCATGTGATGTAACTCTTCAGCTGGCCTCGAGTCCTCGAGTTTGTTAACTGATGTTAAAAAAGGGGCAGACCTATCACTAACAAACAAGGAATTGGGGAGAAGGAAATAACTGGGTAATGAAAGAGAGGTATGACACACTGCCACAAACACTAGACTTGTTCTTCCCTTGAAACAGAGCCTGTCATCACTGGTCAACTCCTGTGAAGTCTGCCTGCAGAACACCAAGTATGAAGGATGGCAAACCTCCTAATCGTTATCTGGTGGCTGAAGTAATAGTGTCCATGGCTTCCAGAACATGCATGTCCCTCTGTGCTAACTCTAGTAGGATTTTGAACTGCTGCCTTAGATTATATACCTAATGCCTGCACAAGTAGGAAGGATCTCTGACAGCAACTAGAACACAGTCAGCTCAGCCAAGCT